TTTTTTTTCTTCTAAAAGAGCCATTTCTGCCAAGGCAAACACGGGGGGACATGGGGGAGGGACACCAGTGCTGCCCCCCACCCTGTTCACATGGCCAGGGGCTCAGAGGGGGCTCCCCAGCCCCTTCCCTTGGTTCATTCTTCGCCGTTCCCGACATAAACACGCCAAAGTCGCCGTTTCCTGCAATTGAAGGAGCCCGGCCCAGGCTGCTGGGACAGGAATCAAGATTGTTTAGATTCTGCCCTTGATGGGGAAGCTCAGTCACGCACGCCCGGCCCCGAGAGCACCCGTGGCCATGGGTGACCCGGGCGGGCCCCGGCGTCAAAACCGGCTTTTCCTCCCCAAAATAGCTGCCTCGGTTGGAAGGAAACGAGCAGTGGGTGCTGGGGCTGGAGAAGGGGTCTGGGCTGAGGTGTCCAGAGGGATTCCCAGAGTGATTCCAGGAGCAATTCCCAGAGTGATTCCAGGAGCGATTCCCAGAGTGATTCCAGGAGTGATTCCCAGAGGGATTCCAGGAGCGATTCCCAGAGGGATTCCTGGAGCAATTCCTAGAGCGATTCCCGCCTCGGCGTTAAGCAGCTGCTGCTCCCTTGGCTGCCTCGGGATCAACTTTACTTTAAAATCAAACTCCCCCAGACGTGGCTGCAGCTCCTGAGCCTCCCTGATGCTCCTTCCCTTGCAAATCCCCAGAGCCACAAATTGCATCTATTTTTTTTAAGGGGAAGCCGAGACTCCCGGCGGTGAATTCCCTCCTCGGAGACAATTCCATCCAATCCCAAGCTGTCAGAGGGCTGTGGGATCTTTGCCGGGAAGCACCAAGTGGTTGGGGCCTCACCCCAAACCTCACTGGACGTGTGACAACATCCCCTGGATGGCAAAGCTGTTTGACACCCCCTGGACCCCCCGGTGCTGGAGGGATGGATGCAGTTCCCAGCTCCAGGACCTGCACGGGTGGGCTGTGCTGCCCAGACCCTTCTGGCCACCCATGGGTGTAAACCAGAGATGCAAAACGAGCAGTGATTCCAGCCCATGTCCTGCTCTCTGTGGGGCCAGTGTTGGATACTGGGCAGATTCCTGCCCCAAGGCTGTGCCAGGGCTCTTCCCAACTTCATTTCAGGCCCTTTGCTCCACAACTGGAGCCTCTGGAGCTGCCCTTTTAGCTCTTCCTCACCCACACTGTTTGGGGGGACCCAGGGTTTGGCTTGGCTGGAGGTTGAACCCCCCCTCAGTGCCCCACACCCCTCACCCAGCCCCAAACCAGCCAGGGTGTCAACTTTCCCTCATTTTTAACTCCTGCCTTTTCGAAAATACACCCAAATTCCCCACTTCCCAGCTCAGCTCTGGGCCTTCGGTGCCAGCTGTTTGTTACTGCAGCTCTTTAGCCAGGACCTGGGGACAGATCCTGTTGCTCCTGCACTGGTGTAAACCCGGATTTCTGCTCCTGGCTCTGCCAGAGCCCTGATCCCAACCCCTGCCACGCTGATGTCAACCCCGCTGTCCCACCGCGTGCGAAAGAAAACGGGGCCAAATCCTGATTTTGCCTGCTCCAGGCTCATCCAGGAGGGAAGTGCTGAGCTGGGTGCATCTCTGGACTCTTCCAGCCCCCCAGAACCTCCCCAACTCACCTACAGCATCCGCGTCCCGTGGCGCTGCCCGATCCCAGCGAGATGCTCCCGGTCCCGAGCTCGGAGGCAGTGGCTGTGGTTCAGCTCTGTGCCCTGAGCCCCGGCTTGGAGGAGCTTCATGGGGCTATTCCCCCTTCCCTGTGCCCGTCCTGGCCCCCCAGGGCCTCCCGTGGCCTCAGTGCCTCCCGTCCCAAGTGAGGAAACGTCCCCGTTCCCGTCCCAGCTCCGGGGGCTCAGCCTGGAGGTCCCGTTGTCTGAGCGCAGCCGCTTGTCGAGAGCTCTGGGGTCTGGATGTGGGAGAAGTCAAGTGAAAAAAATGTTTCTTATTACTGCCTCTTCCTGCCTGGCTTCTCTCCACCACTCCCAGCTAATAAAGCATTTCCTATTGCTGAGCACACATCCAGGGCCGCCCGCCCTTCCTCCCGTGCACCGGGCCCCAGCTCCATCCTGGTTCCTCTCTCTCTCTCGGCCCGTTCCTGCAGTCCCTGTCCTTCCCTGGGAGCTTTCCCACCTCATTTCCTGGCTCTGAAGGCAAACCCAAGCCCCTGGCGGGGGGAACGTCCATCACGGCTCCTTCTCTGAGCACCTGAAGGTCTTTGGCAGAAAAGCAGCTGGTTGCTTTGGGGACCAATTCTTGGGAATGTGGTTTAACACCAGGCTTGGTGCAGTTGGGTTAGTGGTTGGACTCGATGACCTTCAAGGTTTTTCTTCTACCCAGAAGGGTTCTGTGGTTCTGGAACACCAGGGATGCTGTACCCCAGCTGTGGGCACAGGGCTGTGCTGGGGCCATGGGGACTCACATGGTGCCTCCAGTCCTTGAGATGCCACAGAGCCAGTGCTGGGACATGGGTGATGGGGCCGTTCCCACGGGGAACTGGGCACTTCCCACACCCCCAGGACCCACAGGGGCTGTGGAAGAGCCGCTTCCCCTTTTGCCACACGGGGCTTGTTTTTTGGGCCACCCCACCCTCAGCAGCTCCATCCCCCTCCTGTCCCTCTCCAGCTCCTTTCCAAATCCCACTCCTGCCTTTCTCCCAGCACGGTGACCCATTCCCACCAGCTGGCATTGCAGCCTCTTTCCTAATGAAGTTCTGGAGCCTGGTTTCCCTCCCTGTCCCCCACCCCATCCCCAGTTGCACCAGGAACCCACCGGGCTGCGGAGCTTCGGGGCTGCCCCTCCCCTGCTATCGCCCGTCATCGAGGAAGTTCAAACAAACAAAAGCACAAAACCAGGATAAAACACCAGGGACCTTCACTCAGGACCTTGTCCATGCTGGGACCGGGAGGTTGGTGGAGCCAGGGAGGGGGAAATGGGCAGTTTCCATCTGATAGGAGCAGCCCGGGAGGAAGCTGGTGCTTCCAGACCCTTTATCTCCGTGACCATCGTTGCTCCAGTCTCAGGGATCCAACCAACCAGTGGCTGCTCCCAGGGTTATTCCTGGAAGGATCCTGTGTCCTCGCCACCTCCCACAGGCACCCGGTGGGCGCCAGCACCCCGGCTCTCCAGCAAGGGCTGGTGCCAGCTGCTTTGATCCCTGGACTTTCATCTCCCAAATGGAGCAGCTCCAGCTTTTTCACAACAACCGTTGCCGGGGAGGGGATAAACACTTGCTTAAAAACTTCTGGGAGTTACTGAATCCTAAACCCAAGCGACTCAAAGGGCAGGGATGGGCAGGATGGCTGCAGCTCTGGGGGAAAACAAATCCCTCCAGAACCAGGCCCACCCTCCTCAAAGCCAAAACAAGACTTTCCATCATCATTTGGGGACTGTGGTGTCATCCTGCATCCAGCTGCCCCGGGGGGGGGGTTTCATGGAGAGGGATGAGCCGTGGGGAGCCCCACTCTCCCTTCCCCCCACCCCAGGTTTGCACCAGGGCTGCTCCATGTGCTGCCACCCCCGGCTCAGCTGCCGGAGCGTGGCCACGTGCCAGGAACCCAACACAAGCCTGGAGGGAACAGACAGGGAGGTCACGGCTCCTTCCCCAGGAGCATCCATCCCATGACTTGGCCCAAACCTTCCAGTTCCTCCCCCAAAAGTGGAGCCCCAGCCGAAAAGTGGGGATTTGTCCCCCTAGAAAAGAAGGGGAGCAGGGTCTGTGGGTTCCTGCCTGGCCACAGTGAAGGATGAGCTTCCTTCAGACCTGGGTAACCAGGTCATAAACCCCCATAACCAAGTGTGGTCACACCCTGGGTGCTCGGGTGCTGCAGGAGCCCAGGTGATGGCTCAGGGTGACCAGCACCCTGGTGTCTCCTTCCCACACCCTAGGATAGAGCTGGATTTAAGAGGAGCTCAATATCTGGGGAGCTTGAGCTCATGCCTACTGTGGCATTTCATGTCCCAGGGCCTGTGGGCATCAGACAAAAACCCAGCTGCACAATTCCCTATGGGAGCAGGGCCCAAGGGACTGCACAGGTGAAGGTGAGGGATTCTGGAGGGTGATTTGCTTGAGAATGGAGACCCCAGGTCTGCTGAGCTGCAGGGATGGAGCCCACGAGCAGCCAGGTTTGGTTTCCAGCCTGTGCCTGGCACCCAGAGCTCCCCTTTAACCCTCCCATGGAGATGCTTCTCCAACTCCCTGAACCTCAGGTTGTCCACCTGCAAACCCGGGAACAGGCAGGAATGGGGAAGGTAATGTCACCGAGGGGGTGACAGGGTGGACAGGGGATGCTGGCAGCCCGAGGAGCAGCCCTGAGCTTTATTCATTAAATCAATCCTGTTGACATGGCAACTGCTCCAGTTTAATCTGCAGGGCCTCGCTCCGCCACGCGCGCCCGGATCCGGAGCTCAGGAAGATCAAAAAGAGGCAAAAAAAAAACAGAAATGAAGAGAAAAGAAGAGAAAAAAAGAGCCACTTCTGCCACAAACCTGCTCTGGTAGCTCTGGAGAAGGGGCTCAGTGCAACCAGAGCCAGGCCAGGGGGGTCACCATTGAGGTGGGGGAGAATGAGGGGCTGGGCAGGGACTTGGGGGACCTGGGGCCACAGGGTGGGACATCTCCACTGGGTACATCCACAGTACCCTCCTCCTTGGGCATCAGCAGCCTGCCAGGAGGGACATCACCCCCGTGCCAGGAGCCAGCAGGTCCAAGGGGACAGTGGGGACCTCTCTGCTCCCTCCTTAGCCCTTCTTCCCTTCTTTCTTCTTTTTCTCCTCTTTCTTCGCCTCCTTGGCCGCTTTCTTCTCCTCCTTCAGCTCCTTGTACCTCCACTTGGGTGGCTGCAGCAGGTTCTTGTCCCTCTTGCGCCGGTGCCGCTCCTTGGAGGTGGCGGGTGGGCAGGAGTCTTTGCTCACTTTGATTTTGGGGACGGGCTCTCCCGGGAAGATGATGTTCCCGCAGCGCAGGCGCCGGGGCAGGAAGCTCAGGAACCCACCGGCTGGTTGGCGAGGGGGCAGGAGCCGGATCTCTGACACCACTTGGCCGTTGCAAGAGGCCATGCTGGAGCAGGAGCTGGAGTCTGTCTCGGCCTCCAGATCCAGCTCGTGCTCCCCCAGGATCTCCGGGACGGACAACCGGCGCTTGCCCACCTCGGGGGGGCTGTCGGGGCAGATGGTTTGGCAAGCAGTGGCCAGGCAGGGGCTGGCCAGGGAGGTGGTCATCCTCACCATGTGGTCCATCACGCCGTCCTCCTCCGGGTCGTGGGGGAAGTTGAAGGTGAACATGGATTGGATCTTCTCCGACAGCCTCTTGCTGGTGGATTTGGGACCCACGGCTTTGGCCACCGGATCTCCCAGGGCTGGCCACTCGGGCTGGTACTGGGAGCCAAACTGCTCGGCCCGCGGGCGCCGCAGGAGGCTCCGGATCCGCACGGTGGTCTCGAAGCGGCCGGTGAAGGCTGCCCACTCCTTGGCTGTCTTCCCCTTGACAGGATCTGCTGCTTCCAGGTCTGCTCCTGGAAACAGCAGGATGTGAAGAGCATCACCACAGTGTCCCCCCCCCAGGTCTGGGAGGCAGGTGTGTTCCCCTGTGCTCGGCACTGGTGAGGCCACACCTTGGGTCCCAGGGTCAGTTTTGAGTCCTTAATGGCAAGAAGGACTTTGAGGGGCTGGAGTGTGTCCAGAGAAGGGCAACAGAGCTGAGGAAGGGGCTGGAGCACAAGGAGAAGGGTTTGGAGAACTTATAAAGAGCAGCTGAGGGAACTAGAGGTGTTCAGCCTGGACAAAAGGAGGCTGAGGGGAGACCTTGCTCTCTCCAACTCCCAAGGAGGCTGGAGCAAGAGGGGGTTGGTCTCTTCTCTCAAGGAAGAAGCAACAGAACAAGAGGAAATGGCCTCAAGTTGTGCCAGGGAAGGTTTAGATTGGATATTGAGAGAAACTTCTTCACTGGAACAGGTTATTAAACACTGGAACAGGCTGCCCAAGATGGTGGTTGAATCACCATCTCTGGGGGTCATAAAATCATAGAATTATAGAATCATTAAAGTTGGAAAAGACCTCTAAGATCAAGTCCAACCATCAACCCAACCCCACCATGACCACTAAACCATGTCCCGAAACGCCACTTCTAGATGTTTTTTGAACACCTCCAGGGGTGGTGACTCCACCACTGCCCTAGGCAGCCTGTTCCAACACTTGGCCACTCTTTCAGTAACTAAATTGTCCCTGATATCCAATCTATCACGTTTAAAAGGTGTTGCAAAGCCATGGAGATGTGGTGCCGAGGGACACGGTTCAGTGCCAGAGTTGGGTTAATAGTCGGACTTAATGAATGTAATGACCTTCAGGACCTTAAAGGTCTTTTCCAACCAGAACAATTCTGTGATTCTGGGAAGTGTGGGGCCAGCAGCAACTCCTCCCCTTCCCAAAAGATCCTGGGAAGCCCCTGGGGGAGCTGCTCACCCGCCAGGACCAGGGCGGCCACGCAGTCCTGCCGCCCCTGCACCGCCGCCTTCATCAGCGCCGTCAGGCCCCGGGGGTCCCTCTTGTCCACCTCCAGCATGGGGTAGTAGTTGAGGAGGTAGTTGACGATGGTGATGTGCCCTTAACAGCCAGAGAGAAGCTGTGTTAGGGTTTTGACAGTCAACAAGTGACAACTGCTGATGCCCTTGGCAGGAAAACACATTTCGCAACTGCATCTTGGGAGGACAAAAAAATGCAGAACTTGGAGGGACCAGGACTGAAAGGGTTTGGCTGGAGAACCAGCTGCTGCAGCAGAGGATGCAGGCAAGAGTCCAAAACTGCAAAGAAACCCATCAACCCCAGCGAGGAAGACGTGGGAATAAAAGGTCAACCCCACTTGGAGACCCTCCACTGGGTAACGGGGGTGGAGGGAGCTGGTCTCTTCTGCTGTAACGAGGAA